AAGAAGGCATGAAAAAGTGGGACAAATTAAGTTACCGTATATACTCGAGTATAAGCCAAAAAAATTTGGCAGAAAAAGCCCCCCTCAGTTTATACTTGAGTCATAGTTATTTATTATTTTACTTTATTATTATTATTATTATTATTATTATTGAAGTTATTAGTTTATGCTATTTATTATTATTCCATTTACATTATTTTACTCTATTATTATCATTTTATTACATTTATTTCACTCTATTATTGTTACATTTATTATTTGTTATTACATACATTATTTTACTCTATTATTATTGTATTATTTTTATTATATTTATGATTTGACTCTTTATTATTATTATTGGATGGATATGTAAGCACATTTACATTGAAGAAATTTAGAATAATGGTTTAATCAGAGTTGGACAGGCTTATTTTAAATTACCGTTTTATGTAAATATTCAAAAACATTTAACCTACTGATGCCACAATTAATGTAATTTTATTGGTATCTATTTTTATTTTGAAATTTACCAGTAGCTGCTGCATTTCCCACCCTTGGCTTATACTTGAGTCAATACGTTTTCCCAGTTTTTTTGTGGAAAAATTAAGTGCCTCAGCTTATATTCAAATCGGCTTATACTCAAAACTCACTTTCTCCTCATAATACCTAATCTATCTATATCTATATCTATCTATATATATAATAAATAGAGGGTGTGTGTATGTATGTATGTGGAGGGTGGAGGTGTATGTGGCAGCTTTCTGATTGGCTGCCATTGTGGTACAATTTGCATATGGTCTCTGATTGGCCAGCCACAACATTCCAAAATTTTCAAGTGGCTGAGAGGGGAAAGGAAATTTGCATATGGTTTCTGATTGGCCAGCCTCAACAGGAGCCCTGGTGGTGCAGAGGGTTAAACGCCTGTGCCAGCAGGACTGGAGACCCACAGGTCATAGATTCGAATCCGGGGAGAGCACAGATGAGCTCCCTCTATCAGCTCCAGCTCCTCATGTGTGGACATGAGAGAAGCCTCCCACAAGGATGGTAAAAGATCAAAACATCCTGCCGTCCCCTGGGCAACGGCCTTGCAGACGGCCAATTCTCTCACACCAGAAACGACTTGCAATTTCTCAAGTTGCTCCTGACATGACAAAAAAAAACAATAAAAAAACAACAACATTCTAACATTCTCAAGTGGATGAGAAGAGAAATGAAAGGGCCTGAGGGATTTGCAGTACCTTCACTCACTCTACAGCCTACTGCGGTTTGGAGGAGGATGGACCATGGATGATGGACTTGCAGTACCATCGCTCACTTTCTGAGACTGCTGTGACCTTCATTCAATGACTGATCTAGACCAAACTTGGCACATAGACCTCTCATGACCCACTTTACGCCCTGGTGTGGTTTGGCTGGGGATGGACTATGGATTATGGGACTTGCAGTACCTTCGCTCCATTCCTGAGACCACTGCAACCCTCATCCAATTACCGATAAAGACCAAACTTGGCACACTGAGTCTCCATGACGCACTCTACAACCTGCTGTGGTTTGGAGGATGCACCATGGATGATGGGACTTGCAATACCTGTACTCCCTTCCTGAGACCATTACAACTGCCAATAATGATGGATCAGGATCACAATTCACACAGAGAGCCTGCATGACCCACCCTACATCCTGGTGCGGTTTGGAAGAATTTGGAGATGGATGATGGGACTTGCAGTAACTTCACTCACTTCCTGAGACCACTGAGACCCTCGCCAATGACTGATCAAGACCAAACTTGGCACACAGAACCCCCATGACCCACTCTACATCCTGGTGCACTTTCGAGGAAGACAGACCATGGATGATGAGACTTCAAGTACCTTCACTCCCTTCCCAAGACTGCTGCAACCCTCATCTAATGATCGATCAAGACCAAACTTGGCACACAGAGCCCCCATAAGCCACTCTACATCCCGGTGCTGTTTGGAGGAGGACGGACGATGGATGTTGGGACTTGCAGTACCTTCACTTCCTGAAACCACAGCGACACTCGTCCTAATACCAATAAAGACCAAACTTGGCACAGAGAGCCCCCATGGCCAACTCAACATTCTGGTGAGGTTTGGGGGAGAACAGACTATGGATGATGGGACTTCAAGTACCTCCTGAGACCACTACGAGCCATATAAATAACTGATAAAGACCAACCTTGATACACAATTCCTTTCTCAAATAACCCGGGCACCGCTGGGTCCCTAAGCTAGTATTCAATTAAATATGATAGTTCCATCATGCTTAGGCATACTAGCAGATGAAAGGTCCTCCCTCCATGGCCACTGCCAGTGTCCTGGCTTTGAATGGTGGGAAGAGGCAGGCAAAGCTCCATTATGCTTAGATCCAGAAGCAGATAAAGGCCTTCCTTTCATCCCATTTGTCACTGTTCTGTCCTTGGAGGAAGAGTAGAAAGGGGAATATTTTCTGGTGATACTCCTCTCCCACATTGCCATCCTTTTTTCCATTTGTGTCATGTCTTAAGTAGATAGTAAGCCTGAAACGGGTTACTGTTTTAGTCTTCTTTTACTTGTGTTCTTCTTTTACTACATACAGTCATGGTTTTAAATAATATATAGGGACTAGGTTAATGAGAGGTGGAGGAGAAACTGGAGTGCTGGTGCTTATGGTCATTTTGATTGCTATGAAAATTACATATCTTTCTTTGTTTTTAAATAACCAAGTATTGATTTTGGAAGTAAATTTGATCCCTGCTCTCCCTTTCATTCCATAAGCAAAGTACCTTCAGTTCAGAAGTTCAGTGCACATGCCCAACTCTCTCTCTTTTTCCTTTTGAGTTTCAGTAATCCTAGCCATGTTCTGCTTGACCAGGTATTGACCTTCTTTGCAATGGGAAGAAACTCAACTTGCTCTCTATTAAATTAAATCAAATGCTTGTTCTCCAGGAGTTGTATAAGTATAGGACCAATGCAACAATAAGCCTGCAACTTGTATAGTTTGCAAATTATATTAATTGTGTTAGAGGGCAGTTACAGATCAACTTCCAATATAACCAAGCAATAAAATGCATGTCTATATACTTTTTCTACGTTAGAAATATTGTAAAATTTGAAGAAAAAATTTACAGGTTAGTTTGTTGTAAATATATTTTTGGTATTATGCACTGCATTGTTAAATGACCATAATTGCAGTCAGTTATATATGCTGTTATGGTCAGCAAACATTCTATTTTTTTAAAAAAAACCAATGTTGAACAAAGAAGAAAAAACAGAAAAACAAACACATAATGATTCCTGTAGAAAATAGCCTTTCTTCCATATGGTTTCTTTTTAATATTTGGAAATATTTTTACCTTGTCACTACTGAATCTTTCTTAAAATAAAAGGGATGCTCTGGAAAGTTACTTTATGATCTTTCTTTTATGAGATGCTATACATGGACATTTGAATATGCTCTTCCCTCCCTGTGCCTGCCAACTGTGTCTTTGTAAGCAATCTGTGTATTGACATTTACTAGTGCCCTTTGCTCTGAAGTGTTTTCTTGTAAATGTCAAGAAAAGCTCAATTGAACAATTCCTGCCTTTTCAATACATGGAATAAATCTTCATTCAAAATGTGGCCTCTCATAGGTGGTTGACACTGTGACTTATATTTGTAATTCAGCATAAAAGAGAATAGCATTTTTAAATATTTGTATTTATATGTTTTCTACAATAGTTAGGTTTAATGAGATACCTCCAATCTGATGCCCTCCAAATATTGGGATTAGAACACTCAAAACAACATTTACCAGCATATCCAGTTATTGGGGATAACGAGAAGCAGGTTTTGCAACTGCTAAGATTCATGACTTAAAACAGAGGCTAACACAGATATGTCATCAATAAGAGCAAAATTATAAGGTCTACATGTCCCTCCTCCAGAAAACGTGCCTCAATGTATAACCAGACCTATAAGTTAAACAAACATTTTGATGGCCCCCTACAGGTCCAAATAAGTACATCTGTAAGGTCGTGCCTTGGTTTCTTATAATTAACTAGCCATCCCCTGCCACGTGTTGCTGTGGCCCAGTCTGTGTATATATGTTTTGTGTGTTTGCGTGATGTGTATATGTGTGTGTCTTATACACATATGTGCTATTTGTATATGTGTGTATATATTTGTGTAGATGTGTATATATGTGTATTTGTATATATATGTGGTTTTGTGCATGTGTTGTAATGCATTTTGTAAGCCATCTGTCAGTGCTTTGAATGTGATTTTCCTGCTTCTTGGCAGGGGGTTGGACTGGATGGCCCACAAGATCTCTTCCAACTCTTTGATTCTATGAATTATTGGAAAGGACTGTGAGTTCATGAGGGGAAATCTTTACATTGATGGTCAGAAATCCATAGACATTCCTTGATAAATCTAGAGCAAACAGAATGAGCTGTTGGCAGGAAGTGATTTACTTTGGGAAAAGAATTGCTGATAGGGAGCTGGACAAAGGTTGGGGCATATGCATTTCTTTTCCCCATTTGTCACAATGTAGAGATAATAAATGCCCTTTCTTTCAGTCAGAGACTTCTACAGAAGTTTGTATGTAAACCTGTAATAGGTTGAAATGGGAAACATTGAATGGCCGGCTTTGCAGTGTCTGAAGCACAGAGATGAATGTTTCTGACTTCGTGTCACTTTGAAAGATTAAAAAAAACCCACCATCACTGCTCCTTGCTTAATTTGGAAAGGTTTCCTATCAAATAAAAACAGGGACAGGAAATGATGTAAAGCCATCAAATCCGCTTAAATATTAATTGCATATTAATAACTGTTAACATGTGAACTAGTAGGTAATAGTAGCTACCACCAGTGAGTATGACCAACCCATATTAGATATAATGGTTGAATGTGATCATATATATGGGCCTCTGTCCATGTTTCAATGTTGCTCTCTTCATTTCTGTGTTCATAGCATAATGAATAAGCATAGAATTTTGTCTGTATATAATCTGTACTTTTTATCTCCCTCTCTTTAAGGCTAAGCTATGTGAACCATGCAGAGGACCTGGCCTCCAAATTACTCCAGTGTTTCCCAAAGAACAGATTGTCAGCACAGGCAGCTCTGAGCCATGAGTATTTCAGTGATTTGCCCCCACGGCTATGGGAGCTAACTGACAGTGAGTATAACAAAACACCCAGACAGGAAAGAATAAAGACAAGGAAGTGTGTGTGTGAGTGGGGGGCGGTGGAGGGAGGTGGCAGGGGAGGAAGATTTTCTGTTTTCAAATTACAGTACACTTGACACAGGAAAAATAGATTCTCTCTTGCTATCTCTGCTGTGCAGTGTGTAGCTGGCCATCTTTGTATTTGATTATGTGTGCAGTCAAGAGAATGATATGAAATGTCATAAAGAAAAAAAGAGGGACAGAAATACAATTTACATATTTAGTGCTTTTTCACTTTATAACATGCAGCACTTTTTAACTAGCTGCAGCACCCAGGACAATAATCCAACGGTATTTTATTCTCAAACACTATACATGTTATAACAATAACCTTTCTCAAAAGAATGTGGTAGCATAAGACTAGAGAATGCAAAGCAGTAAGTTCATTTTGTGGATTTAAATGTGTGAGAGAAGAACTTGAATTTGTTTAAAAATAGCTTAAGAATCCTTTCAGTATTCACATAGTTCATTTTTGTTTGTCTTTATAAACAAAATATGTTATCATTGATAACATATTCTCAAAAAATGCAGTCATTTACTTAAGTCACTGTGAAGTTTTTCAGAAACATGATTCTCTCTTTTTCTTTTTCTTTATTATTCTTAAAACATCATTGAAACAAGGCCAATATTCCATATGGTGGCAAAGAATATTGTGCCAACATGATGCTAGCATCAATTCATGTTGTTTTCACATTATATTTATCTGTGCCAACAAAGTTGGATAGAAATGTTCTTTGACTAAGTGCTGTGGGTTTTTTAAAAGTAGTTTTCTTTATATTTTTACTTAGTGAATCATACTTGTCTTTCATTTCCTTACTATGCTGTCTGAATATCTCAAGACACTTTGGTGGACCTTGGAACTTATTTAGATCTCTTACAATCTTTTTTACACATATGGAGGTCTAAAATAATGACATAAGATCTGCCAGTCCATGTTAGCCCAGTTACCATCACTGGCCACACAACCAACCCACATAACTTTGTGAACTCGAGTCGGTTTCTGTATCAATGTGGATGTTTTATATTCAGATTTTATGTCATTATATATTTTTTGTTTAATTACATTTGGTTTAATTTATTGATGTTAGGTTCTAATGTTGTTTTCTTATGTGGGGTTTTTCTGGGATTATTATGTAGGTACTTGTTTGTTCTATGGAGGCATTGAATGTTTGCCTTTGTATGTTGGAATCCGCCCTGAGTCTCCCGGGGGGAGGGGGGGTAGGACTGTATATAAACAAATTATTATTATTATTAATTTGTTTAGGGCAATTTTGTGACCATGTCTTAATGGAAGTTTCTGCTGATGAATAATTATGAATGTCTAGCTCTTTTGTGATAGATAGATAGATAGATAGATAGATAGATAGATAGATAGATAGATAGATAGATATGAGAGAATCTGTACTTGAAAACTGCAGAGATAACTTGTAAAACCATATATATGATGTTAGCCTTTTGGGACTTGGAAGTTTGTACTTATGTGGTCAGCCAAATAGCCTGGACCTTAGCTGTATAGGGCTTTAAAGGTCATAACCAGCACTTTGAATTGTGCCCGGAAATAAATTGAATAGTGTCTGGAAATACGCCGCCTTAGCCACCTTCGCGCTGAAAAAGGCAGGATAAAAGTGTGGAGCTGCTGCAACAGAAGGGGTTGTCTGCTTCCTGTAGCCAGCCCAGTTAGCCACCTGGCTGCAGTTCTTTGGACCAGCTGCAGTTTCTGAACAATCTTCAAAGGCAGCCCCACGGAGAGCGTGTTACAGTAATCCAGACCGGATGTAACTAAGGCATGTACCATCGTGGCCAGATCCGGCTTCTTAAGGTATGGATATAGTTGGCACACATGTTTTAATTGTGTGCCAACTCCTGGCCACTGCAGATACCTGGGCCTCCAAGTTCAACACTGAATCCAGGAGGACCCCCAAATTGCAGACCTGTGTCTTCGAGGGGTGTAACCCCATCCAACACAGGCTGGATTTCTTTTCCCTGATCTGCCTTCCGACTGACCAGGAGCACCTCTGTCTTGTCTGGATAAAGTTTCAGCTTGTTTGCCGTCATCCAGTCCATTACAAGAACAAATTTAACAATGAATTACATGCCTATGAAGAGCCTAAAAAAAGCACCAACCTCATTTACTCTTTCCACCACGGCACTTTTTATGGCTTTTTTGAAAGCCTGGCTGGGACAGTAGTGATGGCATCAACCAGGGGTGGCTGGCCCAGGCCAGCATTGGTGCTTTCCTCTCTCCATAGAATGACCCTCGATTTATCCTGGGATCATATCAAAATCCAAAATTTTAGCTTCCAAACCTGTCCTTGACTTATACATGATAATATATGATACCCTCATAATTCTTTATAGTTAACGGTTGTCTCCAGAAATTTTTAGGACAAGTTTTTATTTTCAAGAACTAGAAATTATTACCAGAAATTATTACCATTAACCTTAACCACATTTTTCCCTTTTTAGGCAAATGTTATTTCTGATACATGTTCAGTATTTTGGCTCCTTGTCAGATATATATAGTTTTTTCATTTTCTATAATACAATCAGTACCCTGGCATAATTTAACAAGGCTTTCTGTATACTCTGTGTTTAGCTTAAAGTAATAAATGTGAAGTGATTCATTAGTTTATGGGACTATCAGTTTGTTTCCGTTTAGTCAGTTTTAAAAAAGGACTGAATCTCACTCTGCACTGGTGACATCTCAATCCTGCTTTGACTCTACATTTTAGTCTAGCCAGGATTTTGATAGTCTATGAATTCTGTAGTAATACTTTTCAGTTAATATGGACTTATTACCCACTTGCCACTTAGTTTATCAGTTGGTGGTTAAATCCGGTTCTATCAGTGAAGTAAATGCCTACACATTATCACTGTGCAGCAGGCTGCCAACAGAGACAGTCTTGTCCTAGTCATTAACAAGCACAATGTATGCAGAACACCAGAGGGGAATTAAAACCACAAAAAATACCTCAGGGTGGTATTTTTAATATGAGAATTTAATTTGTAATTTCACAGATTAAGAATTTTGGCTGCATTAATCCTTTTATCAGCTCACAGCAGGTTATTTGCAGAAGCATAACCATAAGGCGATATTCATTGGCAGAAACACGTCTTTGCATAACGTTAAACATCAGGAGCAGTGAAACCTTTTGAAGGGGGAGAATAAAGATGAAAAATCATTATATTTTAAGGCAAGGTTCTGCTAAATGCCTCCAGTAACATTTCTGAGTTACAGAAATGATATTTCTGTGTCTCGTAGATAATCATTATAGAGCATAAATCCAGATGCGAGAAAGGACAATCCTTGTATCAAAATGCTATAATTGTTTCCAGTTGATATGCATGCATAGAAATTGTAAACATATTTTAGGACAACAAAGTTGTATCTTTTAGGGGAGAGACTCTGGATTGATATGATCTAGGTGGCCAGTTGTGATGCCTTCTCTGGACCTAAAATAGTTCCTGCTTGTATGTTGTATTTACTCACTCTCCTACACTTACTGCAATTCAAGAGCCATAGATCTTTTTTTTCAAGGTTACTGGTATAGAACTTTTCTTCATGGAATTCAAATACACACACAAATAGAAAGAAATAGTAAAGGGAGAAAATTTATTTTTAATGTTCATGTTTTCTGAGGAACTTCATAGGAAAGCAACATTTATTCATTTTATCCATTTTTATCCCGCCTTTTTCCCAACAGTGGAACTCATGGCAGCTTACAGTTTATCAAAAATAGTACAGATTAAAAAGACAACATGATTGATCCGAGACCATTGTACTTTGAATATAACATGAAAAAAAAGACCAATTGGAAAAAAGGCAGAAGGCAAAAGCCAGGTAGAGAGATTCAGTCAAGGAAACCACAGCCCTGAATTTGCAAGACCAGAGCAGGGCTTTTGATGATAGGGTGAACTGGAGGACTATATTTAATATATTAGGCAATACCAGATGCAATTTAAAATTACAATTTTATCCCACAGGAAAAAAAAACCCACTTTATTTTGGTTAAGTATTCTATATAAACACGAAATATATGTGTAATGCTAATCTTGTGTCGGATTTCTAGTTGACATTGCTGAATGTTTTTCAAAATTTTTTAAACCAGATTACAAGAAGAAGGTTTTACTAAATTTTGAACTTCCTTATCTAAGAAAGTGATATTTGCTTAAATATCACCAGCTGGATTGAGTCATGTATTCTCCCCTATGAACCATCAAGATTATTAAGATTGTCTGGAGAGGCCCTGCTCTCAGTCCCACCGGCCTCGCAAGCGCGTCTGGTGGGGACGAGGGACAGGGCCTTCTCGGTGGTGGCCCCTCGGCTCTGGAACTCTATCCCACTGGAGATCAGAACCGCCCCTTCTATCCTGACATTTAGAAACAGGTGAAGACGTGGTTATGGAGACAGGCATTCGATGAGTGAACCAACACCCTGAAATATGGATGGAGGATGATGAACAACGATTTTAGTGTGACGACTGACCATTGTAGTTATTGACTGTAATTGCTGTTTTAATTGTTTTACTGTAATATAAATTATGATGTTTTATTGACTGTATGTGATATTATAGTTGGAAACCGGTCTGAGTCCCTCAAGAGAGGTGAGAAGGTCGGTATACAAAACTTTTAAATAAGTAAATAAATAAATAAGATAAGCTAGATTACAAGTAAGCACTTATTTTGCTATTTTGGACAATTTAATATGGCCCAAATTCAACTGAAGGTTTTCTGATTAATTTACCCTAGCATTAGACAACTATAACCTCCAGATATTGTTGGATTGAAACTCCTCTAACAGCCTTAGTGAGTATAGTCAGCAGTGAGATTATGGGATCTCCAGGAAAAAAATATCTGGAACTGCCCCCTACTAATGCCAATTAACCAGAAGATGGAAGGAGAAGGTTACATGTATATCTGATTGTGAATTGTGTAGTATCATGAAACAAAAAACTGTATTTTAATGAAATCCATAGTCCCACTTTATTCGTTTTTGGTCAGACCTCAGCTGAAAAACGTGTAGTGTCCAGTTCCGGGCAACACAATTCAAGAAAAATATTGACAAGCTAGAATGATCAAATGTTTGACCAAAATGATCAAATGTTTGAAAACCAAGCCTTATGAAGAACAACTGAGGGATCAGGGTGTGTTTAGCTTAAAGAAAATAAAGCTGAGAGGGAACATGCACTCCTTTTCTGGAGATTTTAAAGCAGAGGCTGGATGGCCATCTGTCAGGGGTGTTTCGATTGCTTAATCCTGCATGACGGGGTTGGACTGGATGGCTCTTATGGTCACTTCCAACTCTATGAGTCTTTGATTTCATATGCTTCTCAGCTGTACCTATGTACCAAAATAGATAATATTTTCATCTAAGTTTGAATAAGTACTTGAAGTGTTATTTTTAATCTTATTGGCCTCTAGGAGCAATACTGACATGGCTAAATATGTCTTATTCTAAAAGTCTCATGGAATGAGATCCAATTTTCTCCATGGTGTCAGACAACTTTACATTTTTCCATGATGTATACTTTTTTTGTTACACCATTCTGTTTACGAATCCACACGATCTCTTCATTCATCTGGAGAGGCCCTGCTCTCACTCCTGCCCCCTTCGCAGGTGTGATTGATGGGGACGAGGGAGAGGGCCTTCTCTATGGTGGCCCCCGACTCTGGAACTCTCTACCTAAAGATATCAGACAAGCCCCCACCTTGGCAGTCTTTAGGAGGAGCTTGAAAACATGGCTATTCCAGTGTGCCTTCCCTGAATAAAGGAAATAATGCCTGATCTGACCAATTCCCTTCCATACGTCCTCTGAAGCACTTTATCCATTGGATTGATCCCCCCATCGCACTCTTTAAAACCCCCATGCCTAGACATACCCTACTCTGTACACGCCCAGGGTTTTAAAATTTTAATCTACATCTGGCCCTGCCATAATGTTTTTAAATCTTGTGTGTGTTATTGCTTATATGTTTAACTGTATTATTTATATTATTTATTTGCTTGCTTGTTTGTTGATGTATTATTGTATTTGTATTTGATGGGCTTGGCCTCATGTAAGCCGCCCCAAGTCCCTTCGGGGAGATGGTGACGGAGTATAAATAAAGTTTATTATTATTTATTTATGACATTGTAAAAAGTTTCCCAAGCTTATCATAAGTGAGACATAAATGTAGGAGTGGGGGATGAAACAAAAGGACAGGAATTGGCAAGAGGTGGTTGGCATTTATAAGGTTGAAGCAGAGCAGAGATAATGTTGTATGCCATGCATGGGAGCAGGAGATGGTGAAACGTCATTGGACAAAATCAGCCACTTTTGTCACTTTTGTACTTCTGTAGAGACATTTAGCTACTCAAGAGTATGAAAAGTCATATGTAATAGAGGTAGAGCATCAACACTATGGACAAGAAGACCAATTCCTCGAGTTTGCTATTATGAAAAAAATAGTTTCTGCTTATGAAAGATGAGTGATAGAAATCTCCGTAGTGCTGATCAGACAAATGGGAATTTACAGCAGAGAATCCAGAGGCATTAATTGTTGCCGAAAGCAAGCAAATGGATATAACCAAAACAGTAAATGGTAAAAATCTTTAAAAACAAAAACTAGACCCTGAAGGAGAGAAGAAAGGAAATCAGACAAGAAGAAATACAGTCAGAGCAAATGCAGAGTTTTTTTTTACTTCACAGGCCAACTCATTCACCAAATGACTGCTCAATTCACCAAAGGATAATTTGGCCCTCAGACACAATCTTTAGCACAGTAACCAAAGCCTAATTACCTGAAATTGCTACCAGTAGAGTTATCTGTGAGATTTAATCAGTGATTTTAATGTGAAGATAACTGATTTTAGTGTTTATGTTTGCTTATAGTTTGTTTTTTTGCACTGGTATTGCATGTTTGCTATTTATATGTTGTGCTCAGCCCTGAGTCCCCTTTGGGTGTGAGAAGAGCGGAATAGAAATATTTAAAATAAATAAATAATAATTTGTATAGATATGTGTTGGGGGGGGGGGCATTAACTTTGCAGGCTATTCCTGCTTTAAAAACGTAAATTATATATTTTTTTCTCTGCAGTGTCTTCTATTTTTTCTGTCCCGAATGTAAGATTACAAGCAGAGGCTGGAGAAAGCTTGAAAGTGTTTGGAAAAAACAATATTTATGGCAAGGGTTTATCAAACATTAAGCACTGAAGAATTTTGGTTTCTCATACACAATTCAGGTAAGAATAGTTAATTGAAAATGTTTGTTTATATAAAGCTTCCTTTACTGACTTCTCATGCAGTATTAAAAAGTCCTTGTGATGATAGAAAAATAATTTCTCAAAGGTGGTTCTGTAACTGGATTTTGTATATCAAAGAGCTGAACCAGAGTGTGAATGCAACACCTCATGCTTTTGGGTTCAAAAATCTGATTTTTATTCCACAACCCTTATAATAATATCTCCCATTCTCTGTCCAGATACTCAAGAGTTCACGTAACCTGCCATATTATTCCCTCTTAAGATGCATTGACTGATTTCCACTCTGTGTTCCTTCATCATTTCCTCAAGGCTGTTTTCTATTTTCTACCCATAAGTGCATTGTTGGTGAACATGTTTTACAAACACTGAGGGCATATCTACAAAGTAGGCAAGGATGAATAAGCTTGGTAATGTTATTCTATAAGATGAGGTTGTGGATTCTCTGAGAATCTATACTATAGCAGAATGGTTTCCAGCTTTTTGTAAATGCTGTTAAAATATTAGAAAATTACAGTTGATGTATAGAAAAATATTGCTTTTTGATGGGCAGTTCAGTACCCACATGTATATGAGACAGCAGGATTGATTTTCTTCCTTGTGAGGAATAACTGGTTGGTAGCTGCAATTTCGTCTTTTTGCATAGGTACAAACATAATATATAGATAAATAGTGATATCATGTTCTTATGATAGTCGATTAAGGTGGGTATGATGGATGGTAAAAATATGAAGCCAGTATGAAGTTGGAAGAACAGGGGGCATTAGAAAAATAATCTGTTAAGGTATGCTTCTGCTGTATTACAATACTTTGTGTAATTGAGTGGTGGACATCTAATAAAAGTATTTGCAGAATCCTGACAGGCTATTTTACAGACACAAACAAAGGTGCAACAGGAAATTACCTAGGTGTATGCATTTATCGTAGGTTGAAATAAATGCAAACATGAGGGCTTTTGACAAGTTTTGAGTGAAAATCTTAGGATAATTGTCAGCATGAGAAATGTCCAACTTTTGTGATACCTTTCTAGTATACCAGTTGGAATTGCTTTCCATTTGTTGGACAGGATCAAAGTGTTATCTGTCAGTAAATTACACAAAGTATTGATACTTTTTCAGGGATAATGCATTTTCTCTGATAATATAAAGCTGCCATGAGCACCATTTTTGAAGGATGTACAGGATAAAATTCCAGTAAATAAATGATAATAAAGGTAGCAGAAAACTATTTCTTTAATATATTTTTTTTACTACGGCTGGGTTGCCTGCAAAGTTGTTGTGGCGATTTAAAAACAGCCTACAAAGTAATGAGTACAGCTTGCTGGAAAGATAACTACTGTTGAAAACTGAAGTCATCAGATGTCAGCTTGCCCCAATTATTTCACATGTTTCTCTACAGCAAACCATAGAGATTTTACAGTGTCAAAATCAGATGCCATCAGAACTGGGTTGTTTACATCTTCATTGTCTAGTTAATCCCTGCCTTTTCTTGGAAGCAATGTCCCTACAGACATTTCTTCAGTTTCACATCACTAATGTGACTCATCAGATCTTCCCAGTAATTTTTAAGTGTATGTGTTTGCCCAAAAGGTTTATGGATTCAAGACCAAATTAGCAGAATATAGAGATGGCATGAAAATCTAACACTTATATTTCAGGAGCTTTTTTCTCCTTTAATTTTGTTTGTGTTTCCTATAGTACAACCCCCTCCCTCCAAATTAGATAGCTTAAAGAAGTATGACTTCACTCCCTGAGCCTTGAGGGGTTGGTGCAAATGCTTGCAGATGGTTTAAGATGAGATAAAGAGAGACAGGCTGTTTTAATTTCTCAACTTTGTCATTGCTGACCTTCCCTACTGCTAGAATGCAGGAAATACGACATGTGTAATCCAGTTACCTCTTTCCAAGTGTCTGTGTTGAGATTAATGTCACAATTCAGCAGCAGATCAGTTGCACAACTTCAGCGTTTTCCAGTAGCTTCTTCCTGCACAGTATTTTCAGTCAACTGCTCCCACAGCCTGCAGTCACTCTGGAACCTTTTACAGACACTTAAGCACATGCCCGGCCATTGTCAGTTTTACCATTGTCTTTCTCCCAGTCTAGATGATATTACAAACTTACCACAGCATACAGTTATATCTTGTCTTAGTAGACAGGTTCTTTTATTCAATTACATAGAGCCTTCGACGAACAACATCACAGCACAAGGAGAAATATACACTGTACATGACTTCCTTATATACAATTCTATACAATTACACATAGCAATCTCGGATTGGTTCCCAACTCAATAACTTAACTCAGACCCAGGATTACATCATTCACAATCACCTGGACTAGGCCAGAACACATTCCCCAAATGATTCCCTGTATACAGTTAATGCATGACTCAGCATTAATGCATTTCCAATAAAAGCTCCTTAGCAGTGCATGACTCAGCTATATTACATTACAATACATTGTGAAACCTGACAAGAGAAAATAAGAAATCTTACTTTGGGGAAATAGGCTGAAAGACTGAATGAGCAATAGAGGTGGAAAGAGATATGAAAAAATAGGATTGAAGAAGAGAGAAAATGCTATTTACAACATAGAGAAATAGAAAAACAATTTAGAAAGTTCTATCAAAAATTATATGCTGACGATAATATCCAAAAAGAAAAAGTTTTACAATATCTAGAAAAACAAAAAATAAAGAAAATAACAGATGAAGAAAGGGAAGTGTTGATTAGGAAGGTGACGGAAGAGGAGTTACGGAACGCAATTAAAAATTTACCAACAAATAAAACCCCAAGACCTGATGGACTTACGGCCAAATATTATAAAGTATTTACAGAATCACTGATTTACGGAATCACTGATACCACCTCTAAAGAAGGTAATAAATAAAGTCATGGAAAAGAGAAGGATACCTGAGTCCTGGAGGACAGCATATATAACTCTAATACCAAAAGACGAATCCGATAATACAAAAATTAAAAATGTTAGGCCAAACTCCTTGTTAAACATTGATTATAAAAAAAAAATCAGGAATATTGGCATCAAGAATGAAGAAAATTTTGAATCTAAGAATACATGAAGACCAGACAGGCTTTTTACCAGGGCGGCACATAAAAAATAACACCAGAGTGATTCTTAACACCATAGAGTATTATGACAAACATATTCAAAAAGAGGTAGGGCTTTTATTTTTGGATGCCAAGAAGGCTTTTGATAAGGTTAATTGGAGTTTTATAATTGAGGTATTAAAAGAAATGGACGCAGGCTTTCACTTCATCAATTCAATCAAGACGATATATTCACAACAGTCCACCAAAATCATAGTAAACAGACAAAATTCAGAAGAAATTAGAATACATAAGGGAACCAGGCAGGGATGTCCCCTATCCCCGTTGATCTTTATCATGACATTGGAAGTCTTGTTAGAAGTTGTAAGGAATAATCAGGAAATAAAAGGTTTAAGGGTGAGATCGCACAATTACAAAATAGCCGCATTTGCAGACGATGTGGTCTGTATAATGGAGGATCCATTGAATCAATGGGACAGATGGTGGAGAGAAATTGAGGCATTTGGAGAAGTAGCAGGACTAAAAATAAACAAAACTAAGTTTCTTATTAAGAATATGACAAGAAGGAAAAAAGGAAGAACTACAAGAAAAAACTGGCATAGAAATAGTAACAAAAATAAAACACCTAGGAATTCAGATCACTGGTAGTAACGCTCAATTACTAAAAAACAACTATGATGCAACGTGGAAGAAAATAAAGGAAAAGATGAGACAATGGCAAAAATTAAATCTTTCCTTCTTGGGCAGAATAGCAGTAACTAAAATAAGTATCCTGTCAGAGGTACTGTACCTGTTCCAGATGATTCCAGTATTAAGATCTAAAATGACCCTAACAAATTGGCAAAAAGACATAAATAGATTCATTTGGCAGAACAAAAAGGCAAGAATAAAGTTTAAAAACCTATGTGATGATAGAAAAAGTGGAGGCCTAGGATTGCCTGATATTCAGTTGTATTACAATGCAGCAGCATTTACATGGGTCGATTGGGCCTCATTAGAAAATAAGAGAATACTATCGTTGGAAGGAGAAGATCTGTGCAGAGGCTGGCATAGTTATCTTTGGAAAGAAAAAGTAACTGTGGAGAAAAATTTCAACAACCATTTCATAAGAGCGTCACTGATTAAGACATGGAGTAAATATAAAAGGAGATGGTACATCAAAACCCCGATGTGGTTTTCGCCGAATGAGGCAAACCAAAGAAGGGAGATGCCAAGTGATAGATGGTTGATTTACAGGCAACTACTTAACATAAGTAACCAGGAAATAAGATTAAAAACATTGGATGAGATTAAACTAATAGAACCCAAGATCTCCTGGTTCCAATACTGGCAAATTAAAGAAAACTTCAAAGAAGATAGATTGAAAGGATTTGAAACTTTGTGGGATAAGATTATAAAGACGGATACTAAATTGATAAAAAGATTGTACCAATAACTTTTAATTTGGACAACAGAAGAAGAACAAGTAAAAGTGGTAATGATTAAGTGGGCAAAAATAACAGGACACACGATTACTATGGAGAAATGGGAGGAGGTCTGGTCAAGGAAACTGAAATATGCATATGCCACAGAGATCAAAGAAAACTGGTTTAAAATGTTTTATTTATGGTACCACACACCAGAAAAACTTGCTAAGTACAGCAAGGGTAAGATCAATAAAAAATGCTGGAGATGTGAGAAAAAATGTGGGTACGTTTAGGCATATGTGGTGGGATTGTAAAGTGGTTAAAAAGCTAAGAGAAATTTCCCAACTTTGAATTTAAACCAGAATATTTTTTGTTGGGAATGACTGACTTCAAATTAAATAATAATGATGATAAGATTTTTTTCTATCTTACTACGGCAGCAAGAATCAGCATAGCCCACTTGTGGAAAAATAAAGAAACAGCAACATTAAATTCTTGGATCGAAAAGGC